TGTCGACCACCCGGGAATGGAGACCGTTATCGGAAAGTGGTCGCTGTTGAAAGTGTCCGAAAGGGTTCGCCAAGTGAACCAACGTGCCAAATACTCGGAGCAGAATGTCAGGTCGATTGCTGAAGTGTTACCTGTAGCCGGATCGATACGAGTAGGGGAGCCGTTGTTGAGAATCACTAGTTGTTTTTTTTAGGGTTTTTTCGGCAATGAATCTACCGAGAGTGGTTGAAGTTTGTGACCCCCAAGCGAGATGGTGCGCGTTGAAATCACCCAAAAATATAACCGGGCCGTTTAGTTGCTCGAACAACTCATTCAGTGCGGCTTGACTACCCTGGATTGCACTCGGCGGAATATAGATGGATATTACTGTTACCTGCATCGGTGCGTAGATGCGTGCAGCTACGAGCTGTAAAGAGGTATCGATTTGCACGTGCTCGAAAGGTATACCTTCCCGGATAGCAAGGCCTACCCCATGCTGCCAGTGGTGTACGCTGTTCGACTCTAAGAAGAGCGTGTAGTTCCTTCCAACGAAGTCTGGTTGTAACACACTTTGGCTGACCTTTGTCTCCTGAAGTCCTACAATGGAGGGTGCATGGTCGGCGATGAGGAGTTTTAGCTCGTTAATATTGGCCCGTAGTCCTCGCAGGTTCCATTGCAGGGCGAAACAACCGCCAGGGCGACTATCCGCTGATGATAGTGATGACGTTGACGCCGAACTGTGCACTCGTGAAGAAATATCGGCCTGATTCCAGGAGGAGATAGAAGGTGCAAGACACTCGTGACTGGTCCCACCTACTGCCCCCTGGACATCCGCTCCCGTCCTAGGAAGGGAGGAGGTTACTTCACGCTCTCCCTCCCCACACCGATTTTGCGGTACTGGCTGTCGCAGTGATGATGACGGTGTCGATGCATCTCGACGGACTTCACCGGCGGAATGCCGGTTACTAGGATCGATTGTGCGGTGAGAAGAAACATAATGCTGCTGATTTGGATGAACTTCACCAGCGGAATGTCGGGAGGAAAACTGCATGGGCTGACTTTCCAAAAAGCAGGGAGCACTTACTTCCCCCCGAGCAGACCCAATCCGGCTACTAGGACTGTTGTTGAGAACGCTGCTGTGTGCTGTTGCTGTTCCAGAATTGGAAAGAGCTTCGTGACGTGGCGATATGCATACTTGTGGTTGGTTGGTAGGTAGGTAGGTGTTCGAAAAATCCGTTACATAAACATCGATCGCAGAGGGGGAATCTCTATCAACGGGTTGGGGTAAGACGTCCCGGACAGATCCTTTGACCTGCAGCGCTCTCGATTGTAAGAGTGAAATAGGTACTACACATTCCCTGCTTCCAAATCGTTGTCCGTGTTCGTTGCTTGGTTAATACTGCTCATTGTGTTATTAGAGGAGTTAATGTCGTCGATTTTGCTGGCTAGGGGGCGTTTCGTCGATTTCAGACTCCTCGTCGACACTTATAGTTTCGGAATCGTGCGGTGGGTTTTGTTCGGCGATTACTTTCTTCAAAGGAGAACTTTGGCGACCGGGTGATGTATTGTTCGACTTGTTGCGTTTTTTCTTCTTCCCAGGTTGACTTTGTTTCGGTTCTACAACTGCAGGTAATAATAATAATAATAATAATAATAATAATAATAAAAATAATAATAACAATAACAATAATAATAATAATAATAAAAATAATAATAATAATAATAATAATAATAATAATAATAATAATAATAATAATAATAATAATAATAATAATAATAATAATAATAATAATAATAATAATAATTATAATAATAATAATAATAATAATAACAATGAATATGCGAGTTTGAAAAACTGGCAGCTCGATGTTTTTGACTACTTTTTGCTGTGTACAAGGTTTAGTTTAGATGCTTGTTTATTTTCACTTTGATTTTATAAACAGCATGTTCACTTGCATTATACAGCATGTATTTATAATCATTGGAGTCCGATGTTTACTCATAAAACTTTCATAAAACTTGTTTTTATAACTTTATTTATAAGATTTTTAACCGTAGACTAGTTCATCTCAATTTTATCAAACTATCATCAGTATTCTTATGAAAAGCGATTAAGCATTGATTAAGCGTCCTAGTTCAATTCACCATATTCAGTTCGCATGACCGATTTTGAATTGATTTGAGTGTAATTTAAACTCTAAACACACCAATTATTTAACTTGAATCATATTCCTACATGATTTTACTAAAGGCGTAATTTAATCTGTTTTAGAAATACCTTAATGTTTGTGAATCAATAACAGTTTTGTAGAATAGTAACTGTTATTAATACTACGTTCAGACTACATAGTTATAACATGTTATAATAACACGGTGTTACACGACAAAAAAAAACTTTCCATTTACTTATTGTAGGTTAATATTTCAGTCGAGTACACCATGAAATCACATTTAAATTTGTTTTGACACCCCAAAATTTAAAGATATTGTTAAAAACCCAATTTTGGGTAAGTGACCGCATAATGTAATGATTAATTCTGTAATTTTCCATCCGATTATTTTATTTGTATACGGTTTTGGAAAGCAAAAAGTCAGATATTTTGAAGTATATATAAATACATTTATGGTGAATTTACTGAAATTCTTTGAAAGTTTTCTAATCAAACGTGATTTTTATACAAAAATAGCATTTTCCTAACTTTAGACGCCAAAGTTAGAAAAATGATGATACCACCACAGACAAACAGACGTAACACTTCATTGTTTATCTTCGTTCACGCATTTAACGGTTGATTTGAATATTATCAGTTCCGCGAACTACTCGTCGCAGCGCTGGCATCGGATCACTTTGACGTTTCTATACATTCTTTAAAACTTTTATGCAATATTGTTTGCGAGTTAGCGAGCAAGCTTGTTTTCCGCGAGAAGCCCGAGAGATGTCGTTACTGAAGTCCAATGTTTTGAGATACTACGTTTTCAAGAAAAACTTTTTCAAAGAGTTACGTCTGTTTGTCTGTGATACCACTTACTTTCTTTGCAATCCTAAGACTTTTGTTATATTTTCAGACATCGCTTCAATAAAATGCTAATAACTTTTCAGGATCAACTCGGATCGTCTTCCGGTCTTGAACAAAGTTGTTGAGCATATAATTATCTATTATCGTGATAAAGCGACAATACCTAGGAAATGGTGTTTCTTTAAGTATTTTAAACTTCAACTCGGAACAAATAGCTTCAAATGGGTAAATGTTGATCGATTTGGCTCAAATTTTGAACAAAGTCTCAGGATTGAATAGAGAACGCAAAGTGTTGTGGCAAGTTGTTGGGAGAGTTGTTGCAGTCTCCTTACTGGTGACTCATGTAAGAAAAACTAGATTTCTTAGAATGAAAATAATTATTAATAAATCAAAAAAGTTTTAACGAATTTCAGACAAATCATCATAAATGTGTCTTTTTTTTTTTAAGATTTTTCTTTTTCCTTTCCTTAATCGTACAAAAATCAACAATTGTATGAGAAATTATTGAATTACTCTTTATTGTATGCTATCACTGACCGAACATTGATTTTTAATCAATGACTTTAAAATTTGGGGTGTTCGAACAATTTCAAATGTGATTTCATGATTTCGACTAGACTAACAATGTTAAGCCACTCTATTTTTTTATTTGTAACACTGTGGAATTATCGACAAGAAAAATGTCATTAAGATAAACTTATAACATATGAAAACTGCTCAGTCTGGCCATTAACGCATACACAGCATTAAAGTGATGCAAATTTTGAAATTTTCGCTCCACAATACTTAAACGATTCCAAATCGGATCCTGACTAACCTCTCAAAATTTGAACCCATTTGGAGAGAAACTGAGATGGCACAAACCATTTGAAGTTTGTATGGGAATTACTATGGTAAAACCAAGATTTTTGTTCATGTCTATCTAATAATTCACCATATCGGTCTGCTTCAAAAGCTTTCAACTTTACTTGTAGGAAATTTTCCCAGCTACAACTTTGTTCAAGACCACTTTTTGATTAAATGCAAGGATCGAAAGTTATTAATGGTTCAATGCACTAATGTCTTATGATCATGCTCAATCAACTGCACATCAGGCAACATTGGTGTTTCTGGGGCGTTGAATAGGACACAAAAATTATGGCTACTATGTCACACTGCAAAATACAGTGTTGCCTACAGAGCAGCTGCTTGATCATGTAATAAGTTTACCAATCTCTTAAATAATTAATAACTATTTCCTGTCTCGTTTTACATAGAAACTATCCTCAGCAAAGTTGTGGCTGAGAAAATTTTCTATAAGAGTGGCTATCGAACTGTTTTGTAGCTCAATATGGAAAAAGACTAGAAGGCAATGAACAAAATGTTGAGATTTCCCATAGTAATTTACATGTAAACTTCAAATGGTTTGTGCGAAGTCTGTTTCTAACCAAATGAGTTGTAACTTTTGGAGGCTAATCACGACCCGATTTGAAACCATTTAAGCACTGTGGAGCGAAAAAGTCAAATTTTGCATCAGTCTAACACAGCATATTTTGATCATATTATTTTCACTGTAAACATTAATTTGTAAAAAAATATTAATCGGCATTTTCAGTGAATGCATGAATTGATGTTATTTGGCGAGAGTTTTCGCACAATCAAAGTTCTGACTATGCGATCCGTTATAATTTGTCTTGCATTCACCACGCTGGTATTATGTAGTTAAAGTTTAATTTTTCATTGCCTAAAGTTATCATAATTAGTCTTATTCTCTTTTCTCTTTCTTTCTAGATTCAGAAAAATAATCAGGTACTTGATCAACTTTCAATAAACAATTACTTTCATTTGCTGTCCTAACATAAAAGAGAACAGCAAGAAATATATATTTGAAATGAAAATATTGAAACATGACATTAGCCTTCGGTCGTTTGGCTGTTACTCAACAATGTGCATTTGAATAAAGATTTCATGTCGTGATTTGATGGTCACTCAGATCATTTAATCGTTTTTTTTGTGTAAAAATAGAAAATCTTTAATGCATGCTTTTAAAAAATATAATTTTTTAATTTCCGTGATTCTTACGATATGGTAACTTTTAATTATGTTTAAGATGTTTTTTATGCTTCTACCGTAAAGGCTTGAAATCCAGACACTTTTTAAAGTTGATTATCAAAAACGGAGCCATCCATGTTCAAAATATCACCTAAATGTAATCCTGGTCTCCTAGTATCGTTTAGAATCATTACACATTTATTATGTTGCAAAGTAGACGTAATATTTAATCCTTAGCCAGCGCAAAGAAAAATGCGTTGTCTGTATCATACGATCACATTAAAATTGCCGCATCTTAGCGTAATTTCAATGGATTTTAGAAATTTCAAATGTTTTGTAAAGTCCATTAACTTTAAGTTAAAATAATTTAGCATTTTTTGTAAGGTAGATCTCTCATGGAGAGGGGTAATTGTAAACATGTATCCATGAAGTGGGTTATTTCAATGTTAAAGATGTTTATATCACGAGATCTTAACTAAATAATGCATTGCATTCTTGGGCAAAGATGACCAGAAATACATGGTTTTAAAACGTATGGGTAGTGTATTTACATAATCTATTTACAAGATGGTATAAATACGAAAATAATCATGCTGCGCTACAGATCCTGCACATATCGAGTATTGAGTAAAGTTGCTCTGATGTACAAGGTAAACAGTTCAACTCAGAAATCACTCAACAGGCAGCGTTAGTGTGCCATTCATGTTTAATTTGGTTTAAGTTAACATCTTGACTAGATAGAAGCAATCTCCTATAATCTACACTCCACCTTATTTGATGGGTTTTTCGGGTGGATTTTTTAACATGTTTTTTACGCGGTTTCTCAAAATGACACGGTTTTTTAAAGCGATGTTCAGAATTATCTTATTACTAGGTACTAATGTGCATGTGACCTTTCTCTTGATCCTACATCTTGAACTCATCAGCTTCTAGAATGTTGTTTTCGAAAATGTGACAGAACCATAAAATATTAAAGTTTTGGAACAGAAATGATGTATTGAGATCAAAAATGGATGTCCAATTGTATTTTGGAATTCCTCCTATCGCAAAATTTCCACTAAGTTTGTCTAAGCTCAGGCTGTGATTAACCGGTTATGGAGAAAGTAACACTATTCGACATGGATTTTTTTTTCCATAATTATTTATCTACACGCTAACCACGTAGAACATATCACCAAGCCACCAGATTCAAAAAACTTTATGTCAAAGAGTGAAATAAGGGGGTCACCTCGTCAGCACCTTGCTAGGTGTCTAGTGAGCTGAAAAACATGATTTAGGACAAATTGTTTTCCCTATAAGACTGGTGAGTGGATTCTGAACCAAACTTTTTACCAAAGAATAGGTCTAGTCTATCTGAATAACTTTGTCGAACTTTCTATCTATTCAAGATGTTAAGTTAAAGAAAATTTACAATTAATGGCACACTAGCACCAACTGGTGAATGGATTCTTAATCAAACTGTTTAAAATAGAATAGGTCTAGTGCATCTGAACATTTTTTCCGAATAGGACTTTCTATCTAGTCAAGATTTTAAGTTGATGCAATTGAAAAATGAATAGCACACTAGCGCTATAGCCGGCGCCGGTGGTGTAGTGGTAAGCATGACTGCTTTCTAACACCCAAATGGGTCTGGGTTCAATCCCAGTCGAGGTCGGTGGGATTTTTCTGAGGCATAAAAATATCTGGTCACGTCTTCCTTCGGAAGGGAAGTAAAGCCGTTGGTCCCAGCCCATGTGTGTTGAATGGGTGCGGTATCCTACGCAGGTGTGGAAGCTGCCTTCCTGCACATTCGATTGCCGTCAATGGATTGCAATCGATTTCCGTCGGTGATTGGCACTAGATTGCGGAACAGAGACCGACGTTAAATAAAGAAAAGAAGAGCACACTAGCGCCACCTGCTAAGCGAATTGTGTACTGAATTGTTTACCCTAGAATAGGTCTTGTACATCTGAACTACTTTGCCGAAGACAGGAACCTTCTAGGTAAGTTGAACCAAATTAAAAATAAAAGGCACACTAGCGACACTTGCTGAGTGGAGTATAGGTCAAACTTTTTACCTTAAAATATGTCTAGTCCATCTGAACTGCTTTGCCAACGACAAGATCCTTCGATCTAGTCAAAATTTTAAGTTTAAAAAATGGCACACTAGCGCCACCTGGTGAGGGATTCTGTCTGAGCTTATATGTTTACCTTTGAATAGGTCTTGTCAATATGAAGAAGTTTTCTTAAGAAAAGAACTTTCCATGTGAGCAGGATCTATAAATATAAAATAGCGTGCCCCTTGATCTAGTTTTTGAGTTCTCATGTGATTTGATGTGTCGCATCATGGGTTTCGGCCAAATTAATAAAGTGAATATTTACACGGAGCACCCAAATGTGGCCGATGTGCTCCTGGCCGCTTAATATGACCACAATTGACCGTCTATTCTTAATCTCTGGTGGTATAATGTGCTGCATGTTGGTGTGATAAAATGTTGAGCCTTTTTGTGATAACGACCATTCGCTTCCTAGACATATTCCAAACTGTATGACCAATAAATAATAAGGGGGAAAACTGATTCATTTTAAAGAATGACTGCGCTGTATGCAAGTTTGTTGACACCCCTGAGCGGGAAAGCGAGTACCAGGCTACGTGCACTGCTGCCATCAACCCTGTTAGTGTTGAATTCAATCATCTGTGACTTTTTTAATTGGACCGGTGAAATGTCTAAAATGGCCATTTATGTTTTATTCAATCAGTTTTTGATATTTAACCACCATTAAATACATCCACTCATATATGTTAATGAGTCAGACTTCGCAATTAATTGTTTTTATAAACTTAAATTAATTGTTTGAAGCAATACATCTGGCACCGCTGTTTCAATGATACCTTCACGATTGCTAGCAAAGCAATAAAGTAGAAATGGTTTTCTTTGTGATAAATTTTGTTCACGAAGAGTTTTATGAAGCAGTCGTTTTGAGTTTCGTATATTCGATTGCGTTTAATTGTGCTATACATACTTCGAAGAACACAAGTAAGTAAATACAGTGAATGTGTTTTACCCAGGAAATTGTCGATCTAAAATCACGAAATACATATTTTAAATTTTCGTATTTATGTGCATGTGTGCATGTGTAAACTAATGATGATGATTTTATGACATTTAAAAAAGAAGAAGAACACAAAATTACTTACCCGTTGTAGAACCTTAATTTTTTTTTTCGAACATACATGTTATGTAACGTGTGGAACCGAAAGAAGAAGGTAAATTCTATCAACTTGCATCAATCAAATTTTCAATTTTATTTTAGCAAAATTATTTTTCAATTTCATTTATTTCAAAAAGTATTTTAAAATAAAAATGTTTTACTTCCATTCGTTTAGTATGTTTAAAACGTATCATAGCTATTTTTCGTCATCATATCAACTAGCAGCTGAGGTAAAAGTGTGGCGCATTTTGTCCGCCATGGGAATTTTACGCCCACTTCCCTTGACTTTTTTATGTTGGAAAATCGTGATGATGTTATTATGTTTAATTTTTTTATGGAACACTCAAGATGTTTCTCAAACTTATGTTTTCAATTGCTATTTTTGAATTGTGTTATTTCCAATAACTACTTTCCACTAGTATATTGCTACTGAGAAAGCAGGTTTATTGGGGTTTTGTATATCATTTATCGAAACATCAATTTAGCGTGAGGCAAAACTGATAATGGTTTTAAAATTTAGCGGAAGCGATAACCGCTACCGAAAATGATATCTCAGTTAATTAGTTGTAAGTGAATATGTAACGTGCATAAATGACGTTGCTTATGTTTGCCCATTTTACCCTCTCCCACCATCCCCGTTCGTGTTTGTCTATACCTAATACATGGGCGGCCCCAACTTCTGTAAGCCTCTCCATCCCAAAAAAGGCTACGTCATTCATGCATGTTCTTTAGTGGAATTGTACTCAATTCTACAATAAAATTTGCTGAAGATAACAAAAATTGAATTATGCATTATGATTTTTTTTTAACACATAATTTATACAAACTCAAATGCTGAAGTGTTATGGAATTGAAGTCCATTATAATTTTTACAATATATCTTAATACTAAAGTTAGTAAAAGAGGGGACTTATTGTAGGGTGTCCCAGAATGTCTAACCACGAATTTGGAACACCCCTGCTTGTTTCAGATGACGTTTAAACAGCTGATTATTACGCTAAATCATTGTTTACATTTCGACCAACAGTTTCGTGTATCGCAAGTGTCGGTTCTTTACATTTCTGTGACAATGCGAAGCATTTCTCCGGAGAAGCGCAAACAGATCGTGCACAAATGGTCACGAGTCAATTAGCGAAATTGGTAGGTGTAAGCATCGGGGCCGTTCAAAACGCGATTCGGAAGTATGGTGATAAAGCAACTTTACAGGCAAAGCAAACATCTGGACGTAACGGTTTACGATAACCCTGTTGACCGAAATCTGGACCGGAAAATCGTGCAAGCTTTAACTCTCAAGAAAAGTGCTTCGGTTCAAGACGTGGCTAAAAAAGTGGGATCTCAAGTGGGAAGCAGACGAAGCCAAAGACGGAGTGAAAAGCAAGCCGCATCCGTTACATCAAGGGTTCAGCAGTCATACGACCAATTGCAGTGCGGGAAATTGGTGTGCGTAATTATGGACGATAATCATACGTTAAATTTGAATACAAAACTCTTCCTGGGTATCAGTACTACACCGTTCGTGATGGCCGAAGTGGTGACGATGCGGATAAATCGATTTTTGCCAAAAA